TCTCTGTTTATCTGTTCTGTCTTATTATCTCTGTCGTTCTCCTCAAACATACCTACATACATATATACCATGCATGTTTTTACATAGGCATGCATGACAATGATCACACATGCACACCTAAAGATGCACACACACACACAAAGCCTACACACAAACACACTGCAGTGTGCCTCCTTAGCGATGATGTCATCCTGTCTGCCGCAGCACTGGTGCACTGAGAGATGGGAGGAGAGAGAGGGAGGAAGAGAGTGAACATGACTGAATAAGAAGGATTAGTTTAGAGTTATATGATCTGGAGAGGAGGATTACCGGGAGGACTATGTGAGAAGGTTAAAACGGGAGGCAAACATTAAGACTTTCTTCAAATCTGTGTTTTTATTACATTAAAAGGAACATTAACAGAACGTTAGCAAAAATCTTAAACTAATGTGTACTCCTAGTGCATAACTTATTTTTGTTGAAATAGATTTAGAGTGCATTATTAGTTTCAAATGACATTTATTTTGTTACCTATCTAGTTTTAGTTATCTGTAACAATGCAGTCCAGCACGGCAGCTTCTGGAAATCCAATCTTGTGTAGCAATTTAAAACAAAGTGTGCAAGGTTGAATGTTCTGTAAAGCTTGAAACAATTCTCCAGGCTTGAAACAATTGCTACGAAAGAATGTATTCTTGAGTGGAAAGACATGACTGTTATCATATAGTGCATGACCATTTATTAATGTAAGATTTTATATTGAATAAATTGCCCCAATCACTGAGAGCAAAAAAAAAAGAGGCTTAAAATTCAAACAAGTTGAGATGCCATCGTGATCATATATTTTCGTCTTTCTGCATTTTGGACCAAATATTTTCTTTAGGTTTTTTAGGAAAAAAAGGTGTTACAGTAATCCAAGTTGGAAATAAAGTTTGTCAGAAGATGTGTCAGTGTCTAATGCACTGGATATGTGTGCAAACGAAAATGTTTTAGGCACAAAATTAGGTGCGGCCTACAAGTTGCTTTACTCCACCTTATCTTGTACAGACATACACCCTCGTGCACTGACGTAAATAAACACATGAACACTTCTTTGACAAATAAGCGGCTTAAAAATCATGCCTCAGCAAAACATGTAATTCAAATCAATATTCTGTGTTAAAGATGCATATTAGTTTATACTTGCTGCATCTACTGTAAAACCACAAAACATCTCCCACAAAATCAAAGGGGTAGTTGTGGTTTGTGAAATCTTTCATAGTATAAATGCATTTTTAAAAAAATGTACTTACAGTTGGAGGCTTTGTGAAGTATACTTATTCACTCAGTGCTAAATTGAGTACATGAACTTTAACTCGAAAGCTTGCTTGTACACCATAGAGCAACTCAAGAGCTGGTACTAAACATTTGTAGCTCTTCATGCAGATTTGTTTTAATCATGAGTGCACAACTATGATATTGTATTGTCCAAGGGCAGTCTAGAGGACATAGACATATGTCTGTGTCAGCATTATTGCTGCATGATGCAAGTGCCGCACATCTGGGGGAGATTTTGTAGTGTTAGAAGTCAAACTTCAATAGTAGTGATATGTTGGTAAAAAAATAGAATTTACACAATTTTAACCTAACCCCAAATTCCACTTTGTGACACTGTGTGATGTACTGTTTTCTATGAAATTGGACAAAAGGACACACAAAATTCAAGCCTCAAAATGTCTACTATTACTTTTGTCCTTTTTTATAGATGACAAAATTCGACACAGAAAGTGTGACGCTTTAGACATGCAGTTTGAACCATACTGTTTGGGGGGATATATACGTTTCTATTACTTATGTGTAGCTCCATAACTACAGTGCAAAACTATAAAGCAAACTTCAGACACCAAGCATGTCTTAGCTGATTGCCTGTTTTTGGGGGAATTTTTTTTTTTATTTGGTTTTTCGCTGATCCAAAAGAACCCCACTTCAAGATCCCCAAGGCTAATGTAGGCTTTCTTTCAGTTATGGTACTATGAAACTCCACGGGGTTAACTGGTACAAACTATTCTTGTCTCAAAAGCTTAACCTCTTAGAATGTCCCTCTTACTACTACCTTAAAATTTAGTTATCTCACTAATCTAGGAAGCAGGTTTCACATGATGGCAACTTGGTCAGCCAGAAGACATGAATAGATGAAAAAATATAGCAAGAGGAAGGTATTGATTAAATGGTGAGAGACAGAGCATAGATTGCAGCAAATGGGGCCCTAGCAGCCTAGCAGTTAACGGTCACTAAAGCATTTTGCGAGCTCCTGCTGTGTGGCTATTCATTTGTATATGCACGTGCTTTTGAGTGTGCTCATGTAATATTACCATATTTTATGCCATTAAATCTCTTTTTCCTTTCTTTTTTATTTCACTATACAGAACAAATTCTGCTCAAAATGCCATGTTTCTTTTAGTTGAGACTTATTCTTAAGTACTTTTAAAAAAAAACGTTTGCTTTTTGTGGATACATATGTAAATCTTTTCCTTCTTTTTGCAGTGGATGTAGAATTGAAAATAATTATGTGTAACGATAGGTCATTGAGCAGCAATGTCATGCATGGGAGCAACTCATGCTCATGGAGTAAGACTGCCATCCACAATAAACACTTTCATACACAGAGAGAGAGTGAATTGATGTTACATTTAATGAGTGCTCTTGTTTGCTAAAAATATCATCCAGTGAATCTGTATTTCAGATACTTCAGTATGAGATTGTAGAAAAGAAACTTGTATCTGTTCTACAACTGTGGAAGAAAAGTTCTTTGCCAACATAAATTGAAATTAAGTTGTCACCAGGGCTCAGTACCAATTCAGTAGTTTTATTGTACTGACAGAATTCCTTCGGTACTACAAAGCATCAAAAAATCAGTGTCATTCCATAGTAGATTTCAGTACCTAAATACTTAGTCTTATTAGCAGTCATGAGCCAATATGCATGCTTGTTCCAAAATCTAGACTGGTAATTGGCTCCTAAATTACATCTCATATGCATGTTAACATAATCTCTTCTTGGTTAATCTGCAGTCTTCATACTGAGTGAGAGTGAAACTATCAGAGGTCCAGAACTACTTTGTAACACAAAGTGGTTTGTGTTGCATATACCATTGTATACTGTACTTGTGCAGCCCTGAGGGACAGCCAGTTTATATTTCTAGACGTCTAACAGTATTATTGTCATCAAATATTAAAATTCATTAATTTATTTAAATTTAGCAAACACATCCAAGAAAAGGGCTGGTGAGGAACACAAGTGAGTGGCGATCAAGAGGGCTAATCAAATAAATACAGATATATCATTGGAAATTGTTGTGGTGTAAAATTGAAGTAAGCTGAATTAAGCTGGCTTGTTTGTATCAAAAGGAATATGCATCTACATAATCCAGTGAGTGCTTAGAGGCCTTGGAGCTTTGGGCCCTTCATACAGAATCTGCAGAGGAGAGCAGTCCTGAGTGCATGGAACTGATTTGCCAGTGATACAGTGCTCAAGGCCCATTATTCTCCACATTCATGCATATTCGAATAGGTCATGCAGTGTTGGTGACAAGTGTCCCCACATACATGCACACACACATATGCTCAAAAAGCCAGGGTCTTAGCTCTTCTGTTTGATATGTAGACTGTCAATGTGTGTGTGTGTGGACATGTGTTCGTGTGTTGCTGTGCTGGTGTTTGGTGTTTCTTGCTATGGGACGTGCATGGCAAATGTTCACTTCCCCCAGACTGCAGGAGTCCTTAAAGCTGTCCGAGGGAAACCTCTCCACAAGATTTGCTGCTTCAGGCCCTTGCAAATAGCTCCTCTTTAATCCTCTCTCACTCTCTCTCTTTTTCTCACTCGCTCTCTCTCCCTCACTCTCTCTGGCTTAACCTCCAGAAGTTATCCTTCCCTCTCGCTACTGTGTTACACCACTTCAGTGCCTGCCTGCTAATTTTCTCGTTCTTCTTCTCTCTGTGCATGTGTAAGTGATAATGCAGTTGATTAGGACCTGTAGAGAACAGTTTTGAAAACAATACCTAAATGGACGATTTAATGTAATCCCAGTAAGACAAATGAACATGTAAGGTAAATTGGAAGAAAAAATGGCTGGCTGTAATCCACAGGCTATGAAAAATGGACAAGTACACATTGTATTGCCTTTCATAATGTTTTCTATGCAGATTGACCTCCAGACATTTCTGTGCCACTGACCTGTTTAATTGAACAGGTCCTGACCTGTGCTCACTTTGTAGCCTACTAATGTAACTTTTTTTTTCCAGAGTGCAGTGCTGCGTATCACAGTCATCTAAAAGGTGACCTCATCTGACCACAAAAAAAAAAAATAGTTCATTGATTGGTGTAAAGAACATGCAAAATAAGTGCAACTTTAATAATATATTCAGTTGCTTAATGAATTGAACATCTCAAATGGATTATGTAATGTATTTAATAACATTTGCCAAAAAGACAGGCCAAATTTGCGCCAGACATGCTGTTGCTACAAATCTGTTTGGGATACACTGGATACTGTAAGTAACACCCAGATCTTTCCACACCTTTGTGGTTATAGTTTGTTTACTGGCTGTTACATCTATAATTTATGTGATTTTTCTGTGTAGTGTCCTTGCCATAGTCTTTCAGAAAAGCAAATCAAGTCGTTCTGAAAGCATCTTGTGTTGTGGTGGTGCACCGTTGTCATGTTTAACACTCTGTCCTAATGTGATAAATGATCACGTCTTAACCGCAGTGTGTTCTATTTTTATTTATTTTTTTGTACTTCTTATTTTTTCTTTTTTTGTGTGATTGCAGTGAACACTAGTTATTACATATTGAGATTCTTTGTCTTACATGTTTCACAGAATATGTAAAATGACAGTAAATGGTCCATACGTAAGAGTTGTCCTTTTGTGTGTGATCTCAAGGGCTAGGTGACAGCATATGATCCCTTAATTACCATATAAGTCATACAAATAATCTCACTCTCTTTCCTCCCACCTCTCTGTATGCCTTTATATCTGTCTCAGGCTGATGCTGCCACCAGTTTCTTACGTGCTGCCCGATCAGGTAACCTGGACAAGGCTCTGGACCACATCAAGAATGGCATAGATGTCAACACAGCCAATCAGGTGAGAGCTTAACTGTGAAATGATCCCACCATGAAAAAAATCACCTTTATCTCCCCTTCAGGGTTCTTAGGGTTATAATATTCATCAGCTCTAGGTATAACTCCACAGCCTTGTACATTTTCACTCTATTTGCTGCTAAATATTTCAGTGGGTTGCATCGCTGAGAAAGTGCGGTGCTGGAATACTGAAATCCAGTGAGTGAATTAAAGGAGTGAGGAGTGCAGCATAATAAATCAATGCTGAGTCACAGGCATGTGAATGGATATGACTGTTATTGCAAAGGCAAAAAGCTACTCTGATATTTGAGCTCCATTTTGCAAATGGAATATCCAGTGTGGACCAGAGTCATACTCAACTTCAGTCAACCATTTGTCTCAACTGCTCTGCAGCTCCATAGTTGATTCATACCAGTTATTTGTTTTCAGTGACAGATTGTTTGATGTCGAGTTATGTGTTGTTACATTCCCTAGTGTTATAGCAGATAATGTCTGTGGTAAAATCATTGGTGTCTTGGTTTGTCATTACAATTTATTATATTGGGATAATGTTATTTGATTATTTGATTCATTGTTCAGTTCTTTCTTCCACCATGATGAAAATAGCATTGACATCACAACTTTGCCCATTCATGCTGCATTGCAGATTTCTGTGTTGTATCTGACTTGATCATCCAACTTCAAATGGTGTTCATGGTGTTCTGATCCCTCTTGAAAAGCAGCATGAGTTGAAAAACACTGAGTTGTGGTTAACAACCACAGAGTTGTGACATTAACAGGGTGATGACTCTCATGCAAGCGCTCAGCTGGTGAATAGGGAGTTTCCCCCTTTTTGCGTCATCAGGAGCCTCTTGAAACTTGTGTGTGATAACACGAAAACAGGGTGTGAGGCTGTGAGAGTATGTCTTATCATTGCTGCCCAGATAGGCACCATCATGGAGACGTGCCAGGGGAAATGAGTGTGTGGAGTACGAGATGGAGAGAGGGGTGCAAGGGGCATGTACAATGCACAGTAATGTACAGTAAAGTCAGCAATAGCAGTACAGTACATTATACCACTAGCGTTTCTAGAAGAGCTGATAAGACCAATCAACTGAACAACAATTGTGTGGGCATTGGACGGTTGTAAAGGAACAGGCAGTGCATGGTCTGTAAATTCCCAAAGAGGATCTTGGCTTGTTTTGCATTGTGAACTGACAAGAGAAAATCCAAACAAGAATTGTCAAAAAAAAATAGGTCTGTGTGCCTTCTGCATGGGCTTATATGCAATGTCTGAGCGAAGTGCCATGCACAGATATAGGTGTGTGCATATGCATGTGGCCTCCTGCCTTCTGCTTCACTGAGACTTGTAAATCTATTTGATCGGCCAGCACAAATCTGGAGGACTTAGAAAGAAGGAAGAAGATATATAATGCACTCATTAATCAAATGTTAAGTTGTAAGTGTGGTGCGTTGCACAGCTAAACAGCTCCATAAGGAAACCCACATTGCTCCATGAGCACACTGCACGACTAGGACCCCTACATTTATCATGTGTTATAGCATTCTAGAAATTAACTGTACAAGCAATCATTTGAACATCCATATATATTTTTAGCATTATTCATTGAATTAAATAATGCTAATGTGGCAAAGAATACATTTTACCGATTACCATGATGTTACCTATAATAACGTTATTCTATTTGATCTATTCCATTTGTATCAAGCTTGTGGAGGATTAAAGCATGTGTGCTTCATGGAGTTCCTGTAGCATATGCTGCACCATTTACAGTAGGCTGCTTTAGTATGCAGCTCACAGCTTACAGGAGCACATGTGAGAGCACATGTACCAATGCAGTACCAATTATGAATGCTTCAAAGAATGAACTTTGCCACATAATAGAGCAACAATTAGCATGAATGCTGCATAATTAATGAAAATACAAACTGTACAGTGCCTTAGTATTGACATTGACAGAATTAAATCATAACAAGAATCAAACCAACAACAGTCAAGTCTGAAAAATAAAGGTGGTTGAGAATAGAAATATTACATTGACAATAGAGATGCTGGCAGTTACTGCAAGATGAGAAGTTATTCTAATGGTCTTAAAATAGTCTTCAGGTCCTGCTGAAATAACACTTGACATCAAGAGACCCCTTTTGGATGCATGCATCTACTACAGCTACTAAAAGTCGAAGTGGTGCATGAGAGTGTTTGATATCAGGGCTGGGCAATATAACCTAAAATCATATCACAATAGGTTTTTTCCATAGCCTCTGATATTAATAATTATCAATGATTTTAGATTTATGTTTCCTTATGCTCAGCTGTAAGTTTGAATTGTGCTCTGCTCAATATTAGGGCTCTATTCTAATGTAACAAACAAAATTATTTATTATCAAGATATAACAAAGTAAGTATAAATAAAAAAATCAGAATCAAAATTGACATTTTGTGGACATTTGTCTTTTTCTGATCCTTTACATTCAAGATTGTCTCAGTTGTCAACAAAAATAAGAATTTAAAAAACAGAATGTAAACCACAATTACCTTTTGCTCTAAGATGTTTTCATCAAACTCTTGGCCTTTTTACTCTCCATAATTTCATCACTGGAAGCATCTAGCAGGCTAACTAGTTACTGTTACAAGCGAAAGGCAAAACTTCTTCTCCCTCCCCATCTTGTGACTTTAAGGCACCCAGCACCACCTAGTGTCCTGAATTAGCAATTCAAAGTTTAAGACTTTGCAGCTTGTAAGTAAAAGTATAGATGTACTTTTATATTTATGTATATTTATGTAAGTACATAAGTACGCTATACATATAAGTAGTTATAAATACTAAATTGAGAAACAGAACAGCATAATCATTTCCCTGAAAATACCTCTAGTGAGAATTATTGCGATTAAAAAAATGTTCGATTTTGATCATTTTCGTTATCCTTTTAGCGCCCAGGCCTTTTTGATGTACAGCTTTCTTGCTGCTATAGGTCAGCTGCTATGTCTTTGTGGGGAAATATGATTCTTCCAGTCAGTGTCTATCCCGTATAATTGATATTGTCACCCATGTCTCCTCTATCTCTTCCTCTCTTGTTCTTCTCCATTTCTTTGTTTACTTCTTTCTTTTCTAACTTTTTTCTGATGGGGTGAGTGGTCTCCAGACTCAGAGAGGGGGATAATATTAGCGATGTGAGAAAGGTCCAACCTCACATGTCCTGTGTGGATGAAGGAAGGCTGTGTGAGGTTAGACCTATCCCACACGGCTTGTATTCTTCCCAGCGGAGAGACCACCGACCTGCCATCCCAACACCATGCCATTTGCCATCGCCATCTCTGCCACAGCTTCATTGCCATTTCTTGGTATTTCTTGTTCTTGCCAGAAAGAATCTGCCAGAAAGTTCTCTAGTGGAGAACAAGAGAGTTACTTTTCTTATTGAAGTGCCATTGCCACTCCAAATTCTCCCCTCAATTCAAAGGTCATCAGAGTCTAGGGAGTCTAGTTTTCTAGGGAATGTAACAACACATAACAGAGCCTCCTGTGTGAGGTCTACTCTGTTCTCTCTTCCCATCACAGAATGGACTCAATGGGTTACATCTGGCCTCGAAAGAGGGTCATGTTAAAATGGTGCTGGAACTACTGCACAATGGCGTCGAACTTGAGACCACCACAAAGGTAAAGAGGCTTTGTTTAGTGTTGAATGGGACTGCTAAATCACACATTTACTTTCTGTACCACACAGCTATTAAAAGATCAATGAATATCAGAATGTACTTCATTTAACATGTATTTGGTATTGCCTGTATTTAGTATTCATTTTTATAAAGAAAAAAGCTGGAATCCAGCACAAGAGATCAGATGTGTACTTCGTCCAGAATTAGATTTTTTTTTGTCACTGTATCCTTTTTGAGAACACTCTCTCTCTCTCTGTTTGCAGAAAGGCAACACTGCCCTCCACATTGCTGCATTGGCTGGACAAGAACAAGTGGTCACTGAGCTGGTTAACCATGGAGCCAATGTCAATGCGCAGTCCCAGGTCAGAAGCCCAACTACTATGCATGCCTAAAAGGGACACACAGAGGCTGTTTCACATAATCATAATAAACTTAAGCCTAGGCTCTGAAGCCTTTTTTAGTGATAAATAACCAAGGGACATTGTAATTTAGTCCAAGACTGGGCATAAGCTTTGCATCCATGACACTGTGGTCATCCATGACAATATAGGCCTTTTTGTTTAGTAGGATAATGTTGCACTGGTTCAACAGAGCTCAGTATATGAGTTCAACCTACAAAGCAACTTAGAGAGTCAGTCTATTTCAGCCATACAAAGTTTACATGCTCAGCACTATTTTTTGTAGTTTATCCATGTTTTTAGCTTATCATGTGTTTATAGAACCTCTTGAACAATGTTTAAAAGTGAATATTGATTGTAACAATTGATGGTAGAATAATAGTGAATATTGAGGTGCAGAAAAAAAATTTAACCAGTTTCATAATAAACATTAAAAAAACTTTAAAGCCTTTCAAATGCATATATTTTTCAGCCAACAACATTTTACTGAAATATTAGCCAGTTCTAGCTTTTGGACTGAACTTTTTGTGGCAAACCCATTCTTCCCAAGAGCCTATACACATGAGCCAGATAAACATCAGTGTGTGAGAAATTTAGAAAGAGGTTCATGAGATGCTTGGCATCTGAACAATTATAATAGGCCAAGTCCACACTGGTAAAATTTTTGTAGGCCAAGGACCAATAAGGCCCTTTAATTGATTGTTTAATTTAATTGATCGTTTGATTTTTTAAGTATCTAACATAACCCATTATAATAACCCATTATAAGCCATTGATTTTAGCTAAGTGGTTAGGAGATTTTTTAGATTTTTTTTTTTTGTTGTATAAATTTCCTAACCACTGAACTAAAATCTGTCTGCCACTTAATTTTGTATGCCTAGCTTTTTTTTTGTTTGTATTGGTATATGTGTTTTTTATTGGTATATGTGCTTGTCTACAGAAGGGCTTCACTCCCCTCTACATGGCAGCACAAGAGAATCACCTAGAGGTTGTGAAGTTCCTTTTGGAGAACGGAGCCAATCAAAGCATTCCAACTGAGGTAAAGCTGGATTTTGATCCTGTTATAGGCCTTTCTACTAGTTCATCTGTTCATTTCAGCAATTCTTTTTGAAGTGTTAGCGCTGAAGTGTCTAGCCATGGAATGAGGTTCATATTAACTGCTGTTGATTGTTAGTCTCGTTAAGTCTTTTTTTTATACTTATCATTAACAATCGAGCGAATATCATTCATAAATCACAAAACATTGTTTGCTCAAAAATGCTGTGGCAACAGTGCCAGTCAAATGAATCATTTACAAGAGTTGTCTTACATGACTTGTTATCTTCTCTTTTTCGCTCACCATGTTATAGGATGGCTTTACCCCACTAGCTGTGGCTCTTCAGCAGGGTCACGAGAACGTAGTGGCCCTGCTCATTAACTATGGCACTAAGGGAAAGGTCCGCCTCCCCGCGCTGCACATAGCAGCACGCAATGATGACACACGCACTGCCGCCGTACTTCTACAAAATGACCCCAATCCTGATGTACTCAGTAAGGTTTGTGTCTAAGGCCATGGGCTAACTCTGTCTTGAAGATCCTACCACACCCCAACCCACCTACATATCATCACAAAAACCATTTAACATTGATACATTATATCACAATAAAACAACCTAAATTAACAGTCACATCAACAGACTATTTGTATTTCATGCTTCTAAGGTTAGGCTAAGTAAATTAACGTATTAACATAGGTCAAAGTTGATTAACGGTTAGCTATGTCTGTGCTTGTATGCAAGTCATAACAGTATAAACAAAACTTTCCATAAAACTACACATACTCTGAAAGGATAAATCTTCATTAATGTAACTATATTTTCCAGTTACTACTACTAAAGTACTGTTATTCTATTTGCAATAATACTTACAGTTCCCCCTGAATCGTAGAGCCCATTCAGTTAAATATGACTATGCTTGTATGACTATGTTTGTGTGTAGCTTGTTGTTGTTCTTGTTGTTGTTGTTGTTGTTGTTGTTGCTGAACTAAAATAATGGCATTTTTCTGAGATCAGGTCTTTTCATACATGCAGTAAAACTGCAGGCTGCAATCAGGTCCAACACTTTTTGCACATATGAGATTAGACGAGATTTACTGTATGTGATTTAGTTTCCTGTGACTCTTTGCAGACAGGCTTCACGCCACTCCATATTGCAGCACACTATGAGAACCTAAATGTCGCCCAGTTGCTGCTGAACAGAGGAGCTAACGTGAACTTCACTCCCAAGGTATTTTCCTTGAATGCATTCATGAATTGTTCACTATACCGCACTTTTCAGCACAAATTTACAACAAGTGTCTTTGTTTCAGAATGGGATTACACCTCTGCACATTGCATCCAGGAGGGGTAATGTGATCATGGTCAGGCTTCTGCTGGACCGAGGAGCAACAATTGATGCTAAGACTAAAGTATGACATAACTAACTTTAAAACAGATTTGTAGAGTACATGCAATAACTGATAGCTTGAGCAAGGCCTTAAGCCCTAACCTAATATGAAAATGCACAAGTTTTTGTTGTTTTATATACTTGATATATACTTTAACTTGCTTATATTAGTATAATATACTAGTATACTTTACTATTAGACATTTTTTTGATTATATTCTTGCTGTTGATGTATAGTATAAAATAGAACACATACCTTGTAGATTTAAATGTTACAAATGAGATATTATAATTAGTAATAATAATAAGTTATATAGCGGCATTCACAAATAAAATAGGGAAAGTTATTTAGCCGTTTATTTAGGAGTTTGCTTATGAGTTTATCTAAAAAAAGGTTTTAGGGTTGCCTTCTTGAATACTCAAAACCTAGAGTAAAATGCAGTTTTTTACAAATGTGAACAGTCATTTCAGTCTTTTTCTTTGAACTTTTTTTATGAATTGCATCCAGGATGAGCTGACCCCACTTCACTGTGCTGCCAGAAATGGCCATGTTAGGATTATTGAGATCCTGCTGGAACAAGGAGCCCCCATACAAGCCAAGACCAAGGTAAATAGGCACATAGGCTTAATGCCCCCTCAGGGTTATGATGTGCTTTTCACAAACTCTTGTACACAGTCAGATTTACTTTTAATTGTATTGCTACATAATGTCCTCCACATGTCCATGTGTGAATGCACTGAAAAAATAACCTAAACAGTTAAAACTAGGCATGCTGTATGGAGGACACATTATTGTAGTTGGGTGCAAGGATTCTAAAAGGACAGAGCACCACATATGTGTGGAGAAAAGCCTGAGTTACAGCAGTGAATATCTACATACAGTCAATATGTCAGATTTTTATTCATCAAAATGAAACTAGACTAAATTAACTAAAATAAAAACAACATCATTGCCTGCCCCCATGTATGTTTGACTCTTTATTCTTTGTTATTTTACAGAATGGTCTCTCCCCAATTCACATGGCGGCTCAGGGGGACCACATGGACTGTGTGCGACAGCTCTTGCAGTATAATGCTGAGATTGATGATATAACATTAGACCACCTGACACCACTACATGTGGCAGCACACTGTGGGCATCACCGCATGGCCAAAGTGCTGCTGGACAAAGGAGCCAAACCCAACACCCGTGCACTGGTTAGTTCACTTACACACTTATATGTGTCTTGTGTAAATGGGATTAGTTTAGCCACACTGTACATGGTTTACTTATCACAGCTTTTCATGCTTTTGTGGTATGTTTAGAATGGCTTCACACCTCTCCACATAGCCTGTAAGAAAAATCACATCCGTGTGATGGATCTACTCCTAAAACACTCAGCATCCTTGGAAGCTGTGACAGAGGTAATGAACAGGAAAAAAATGTCCACAATAGCGATCCACCAATGCCAGTTTTCGCATTTATAAAGAGTACTGAAACAAAATACAATATTTGCATGCATCTCTGTTAATCTCTGTATACTTGTGTCTAAGCATTGAATGTGTGTTTTGCTTTGTATCATTCTGGTCCAGACTAGTGATGAAATTAATCTGTTGAAAAATCCATTGCATGAAATCAAATGCATATAATACTGTGGTATCTGTTTAACTGATGCCTGTATTACCGATATTAGTTTCAATATTAGTCCTGTATCATTAGGCACGCTTTACACAGCATGTACCCCATTTTTATCAAGAATGAAGAGAACAGGACCCATTATTGAGCCTTGAGGCACACCTACTTATACAATAAAGTGTAAAAACGGTCTCTAATATGCAGCCGGTCATTTTCTGTGAACATATTTGTAGTCGGGGCTCACCCCTCTTCATGTCGCCTCCTTTATGGGCCATCTCAACATAGTGAAGATTCTGCTGCAGAAGGGAGCCTCTCCAAATGCCTCAAATGTGGTGAGTCACAGACTCTCTCACAGAGAATGCAGAGAGTGCACAAATAATGTTTAGATTTCAGAAAATGCTTTCATCAAAAGGTACTTACATTAGTAAACTACAGAGTCAATCCTTGTGACACAACTTAAGTCCCTTGCTCTGGGGCTCAGTGGCAGCAGCTTACATCTGAACGTATTCACACTGTCTCCTATAGCATCTTTAGACTGCCGAGCTGCTGCCACCTATAAGAAGTTTCTACAACTTTAAAAAGTTTAATTTAGATAATACCTCACACCTCAGCTGACAATTTTTGTTCTGTACTCTGTTCTGCACTAGGGAATAGAGTTCCCAATGTGCAGTTGTCAGGCACATGCCAAGTTAGTAAAACTGGCATTTTGGAGAGTGAGGCCAATGATTACTTGTCCATTAGACTGTTGCATGGAGCAGTGCTATGGAAATGCATTGACAATATTCCAAGACTAACCAGAACATGTGAATGGGAGAGATTCAGGAGAGAGATGAGTTTTGGTGTAAAGCAAAAAACTTTGTGTTTAAATGAAGGAACAATTTAGCGGCATGTCATTTTGATTCTATCCTAATGAAGGAGCCAAGTGACAAAAACCCAAACATATACTATCGTAGAGCACTGCATGGAACGACTAGTTAAGGGTGATCTCCTCTGTAGCATTTAAGGCTGCTAACTGCTGGAATATTCATTAGAAACAGGTGGTGTTAAAAGGAACAGAGATGGTTTGAAAACATTTCTAAATGTCCTTTGCTTTATTCCTTGACTCCCCTGTGGTGCAACTGATAGATAATAGACTTTGTGTTATAAGCACTTCCACACCTTATTTCAGTTGTAAAGGCACCGTTTTCTGAAGTTGTATGATTTTAAGATGCAGTTATTTCATGGTACTACAAATGTACGGTGGTCAGAGGTTAATTTGTGTGTATGTTTATAGAAAGTGGAAACACCCCTGCACATGGCATCTCGAGCAGGTCACTGTGAAGTTGCAGAGTTTCTGTTACAAAATACAGCTCCGGTGGATGCCAAAGCCAAGGTACAGATGTTCCCCACCTACACTGAAACAATGGTGGAACAAAATATAATACACTTTGTCCCAAAATTGTTTCTATAGACTTTATCAAAATCTTGTGGTTAGGAAAGATATTTGCATTTTTTTCATTTGTTATGAATTTTTAACATTTCCATTTATGGAATTAAGTCAAGATAAACATACTGAAACATCTTGGTTTTTGAAGGAAATCATTAGATTTTTCATACCAGTCAGATATAAATTGATGCTGAGCAGTGTATGGAGGTTTATATAGGACCCACCTAAAGAATACATAAAGCCTACATGTGCACAGGTCTGACTATGTACTGAAATACGGCAAATTGCTTGAAGACTGCATGCCTCCTATAGGATGACCAGACGCCATTGCACTGCGCCGCCCGCATGGGCCACAAAGAGCTAGTGAAGCTGTTGCTGGAGCACAAGGCCAATCCTAATTCCACTACCACGGCCGGACACACTCCACTACACATTGCTGCCAGAGAGGGACACACACAGACTGCCCGTATCCTGCTCGACATAAATGCCCAACAGACCAAGATGACCAAGGTAGAGTTTGGTTTCAGCCATACCTACTGCCCTTTGCTTATTGGAGAGATTATCTGTAGTCTACTAATAGAGTTGATTTTAGAAAGCTTCTCTTCTTAAGACACACTGACCTGTTTAGATTACAGATAGTTAGATACGGTACTGCTGTATTTCAAATAACACTAATACAGCGAGCAATGAAAGCTAATGTTGCAAATTAGCATGAGGTCAACATAACTAGCTGAATTCCTTTTTTTGCCTTTTTTTCATTTAAATTTGTTTTGAATGGTATTTTTGCAGAAAGGCTTCACCCCCCTCCATGTGGCAGCAAAGTATGGGAAGGTGGATGTTGCAGAGTTGCTTCTCGAGAGAGGGGCAAACCCTAATGCTGCAGGCAAGGTGTGTACACATGTACATACTTACAGCAATAAAGGAATAAATAAATGTTATTGGGCAGGTGACTAATACACTTACTAGTCTGCATTTAGCATTCCCTAAATTGTTAACATGTTAATCTCATTATTTACCTTGAATGTGGTGGATAGTTCATTTTTTGGCACTACAGTTCACTTGTAGTTGTATACAGTAAAGTTCTGCATCCACAGTACCTATTAGAAAGCACAAAAATGCTGTTATTTATTTCAACTGATTTGTGAAACTGGACCTTTTACAAATCTCCCTGCCAAATTTGTGTTTAGACAGTGTACTTGTTCCAATTTGGAACTGTCTCAGGCTCATAACCTTTATGCCAGCAGTTCCTCAATGAACCAGTCCACTGGCCAGACAGCCCTTTACTAAAGGTGTAGCAGTTGCTGCTGGCTCAGTCATGGCCAAGCAAACCCAATAAATAAGAAGCATATAAAGAAACAGATTTAAGTCTCACTATTGTCACAATTGTAGTTGGTGTTTCCTTGCGTTCTTTTGGAACTTATGCCCAGGATCATGGTTTTCATTAATATCAAATCTTAGTGTGAATCATTTTGTTAGTTGGTGGATTGTACACTATATGTCCAAAACTTTGTAGCCATATGATCATTAAACGTTAATAGGGAGTTTGACCCTCATTTGCTGCAGTAACAGCCTCTTCTTTTTACATTACGTGTTGGAACTAAGAGCTGGCAATATGGCAAACATATTCACAGCACGCAATATGCTTTACCATATTAAGTTTTTCATAAGTTTGAAAACATAAAAGCACCCCAGTACTGTCACATGTCAAAAAGCACTATCGAAAGAGAATGAAAACAAGTATTTTTGTTTAACATTTTACATATTGCTCTGCAATAAATCCAAATAAACTGAACTAATTATGCTCTTTTTTAAATGAAATATGCAGTTGGTCAGTGTTCTTCAAAGGAAAACTGAATTTCACTTTTTTTGACATGGCATGTAAAGTACCATTTACTCCCCAGTCCATACAGTCCACTTATGTGAACTAAGCTGCAAAAACAGCCCCTTTTGAAGTCACTGTTTCTGTGCTGTTGCAAGAATTGCTCATTGACGTATGTCCACCCATTCAGCTTACAGCAGTTTAGCTCAACCCATTCATATTGAGACTCCAAGCAGTGTTTTGGCCTAGACTGCTTTTTGAATCAGGCTCAGCACGGGGCAGCCAATAAGAACAGAGCTGTTTTATCTTCTGTCAGTCTTAAATCATCAGAAAAATCTTAAATTGCCCAACACTGTGAGGTTTTGATTACATTTAGACACAAGAGCATTAGTGAAGTCAGGTGCTTGTTGGATAATTTGTTCTGGATCAAAAAAGCGGCTCAGTCACTCCAGAACATGTAGTTCCACTGCTACAGAGCTCAGGGCAGCTTTATACCCCTGTAGCTCATGCTTGAGAATTTTCATATGAAATTCTTCTGTTTGTTTGGTTATTGATGGTTTCATGTAGAATGGGCTCACACCATTGCATGTGGCTGTTCATCACAACAATCTGGACGTGGTCAACTTACTGGTTAGCAAGGGCGGATCACCACATAGTGCAGCAAGAGTGAGTAGATCACCACAAAGCCTTAACTAACATCTGAAGTGAATTCAGTACTGCTTCACCTTACAGGTTTTAAACGATGAAGTTTATTAATGCAGTTTTAAGCTAATAACCTTGTGATTAGGCTTGTGATTATTATAATATATAACATAAACATACAGAGGAACATAAAGAACACAAAGAATATATTTTCAAGCTTTTCTTAAAGTGATGATTCACCCTAATCAGATTAATGCAATTTTTTCCATACACCTAGTGGATCAGCCAAGTTTGGTGTCTGAAGTTTGCTTCTTTACTTTTACATTGCTGTTTAACTAACATGTAATGGAAATATATAGTCAACAATTTGCATTATGCAAACTGCATGGCTATATCATCACACCCTGGAAACTACATTGACTTTGTTAACTTTGCGATATACTTTTGTTCATTTCTGTTTAAATCAGTGTGTTACACAGTGTCATAAACCCTTTAAGCAAGTCTGTAGGACATAATTAAAACTAAATTATAACTAAAGGATAATTTAGGCATGCATTTTGCACAGTACTGGTAACTAAAAGTTTCCATTACTTACTTACATAACTACATTAGCCTTATAGTACTGGTGGCAAACTAAAAAGAAACTAAAGAAATTGAGACTCTGTGACTTTGGCTGATCATCTACATTTGGGATGAAAGGAAAATTGTGTAAATTTGATATTTGGTTAGGAAAACATGAAGGAAACCAATATCTAAAGATGTATCTGTATAATTTTATCATTAAAATGGGCACTTATTAAATATTGATTATGGTTTTATCATATAATAACAAATTAATCACGGTCCTCTTCTCCGTAGAATGGCTACACTCCTCTCCATATTGCATCCAAGCAGAACCAGGTGGAGGTTGCCAGTAGCCTGCTGCAGTATGGTGCCTCCGCCAATGCTGAGTCATTGCAAGGGGTCACGCCCCTGCACTTGGCCTCTCAAGAGGGTCGAGCAGATATGGTTTCCTTGCTCATCTCCAAGCAAGCTAATGTTAACCTAGGCAACAAGGCAAGTGTACTTCCTTTTGCTAAATTTTCAATTACAAAGAACACTAATAATGCTGTATCGAGGAATTACGTCACCACAATGCAGGGAGTTTTGTTAACATTTTCTAATTGGAGCCTCAGTGTTCAAGCTTTAGGGTCACAGACAGAGTTTTAGCTTCTTTGTGTGTAAGGCTGAACTTGAACTCCTTGAACTACTACCTAATGCAATAACACATCTTTGCACATTATGCACATTATGCCTCCTAACCCATTTAAGACTGTTTGAAAATAGTGCACACCTGTCCTGGTCACTATCTGTCGACAAGTAAAGACAAGTCGCTCACTATTTTCAAAATTCCTCCTCAGAGTGGCTTGACTCCACTTCATCTTGTTGCCCAGGAGGGTCATGTGGGCATTGCTGACATTCTGTTGAAGCAGGGTGCATCAGTGTATGCTGCTACACGGGTAAGATCTCATGCCAGCTTTGGCATTGTTAAGAATGTGGCAGCCATATACTTTGATTTATTGGTGCTTCTGCTTTTGCTAAAGAGGAAAAATCCATTAAGGTGTGACCCAGCCCCTTTTCCTGCAGCAGTTGTAAAATCTGCCTGAACTTAAATTAAGGTTTATTGTTCATTACTGCAACATAGCAAGATGGGACTTCAGCTCAAGATGAGCATGCTATGGTCTTTGCTGCAGTTCTTTATGGATGTAAAAATGTTAATAAAGCAGGACAGAAAAATATTAATACCTTCGAACTTTGGTGCTTCTGAGAGTGAACGACAAAGAAAATAAATAAATGGATTCTTTACCTGCAGTAATCACAAAAAAAGGACACAAAATTCTAGTAGGATTGACCAATTGAAAATTGCATAGATACTGAAATAACAAACTGTCATAAAGACCATATCTGTTATAATGGTTAATGAAAGTGTAATGAATGTTGCATCTTTCAAAGTTTGAAAAATCAGTTTGTGTTATTATCTACAGTATGTTAAGCTGTAACACTTTTTAAAGTAATTTCTTCTTGTCTTTTTTCAGATGGGCTATACTCCACTTCACGTGGCTTGTCATTATGGCAATATAAAAATGGTGAAATTCCTCTTACAGCAGCAGGCCAATGTTAATAGCAAGACGAGGGTAACCAACAAATATTAAGTATTGATGTTATATTTTCAAAGAGTGTTTCAATGCAACATTGAGTATTAAATTTCTTTTATGTGTAGGCGGGATATACACCTCTTCACCAGGCTGCCCAGCAGGGCCACACTGACATTGTGACGTTACTTTTGAAACATGGTGCACAGCCCAATGAAATTACTACTGTAAGAGCATACATTGTCGTTTTTAAATATTTACTGCCACTCTATTCTGTATCACTAGTTGTCCATTCATGCTAGAAATTTATAATAGATAGATAGAAATTTATTGATCCCAAAGGGAAATTGCAAAATAAATAAATGTTAATAAAAACAACATTAGCTCCTCGAAAGAGTCAGTGACAAATCTCACTCCACAGGGCAATGATATGATTTGCTAAATGAATTAGCATTTAGTACATGATAGATAGGAAAATAATATGATATTTATAGTAAAAAATAGCATCAATTTTTCCTCTCCCTCAGAATGGCACATCTGCACTGGCCATTGCAAAGCGGCTTGGATATATCTCAGTCATTGATGTCCTTAAACTGGTTACTGAAGAAACAGTTACCATGGTGAGTCACCATAAAGAAGCTAAGTTAATAGAGGTTATGCGCTCGTAGGCCTAGAGTATTCCTGCAGAGCTGTGGCCCAGAAGGAATTCAATTTAACACCCCTAATTTGTAGTTTTTCTATAAATGTCTGGAAATAAATTCTGTGAAATAGAAATATATTTAAAAACATTGACTGCTCAGGTAACATATTTATATACTTAAAGGACTAAGTATAAATAGTGTTGATGCTTTAGTAGCATGTGTATCACATTCTAAATGTCTGCTTCTTAGACCACCACTGAAAAACATCGGATGAGTTTCCCTGAGACAGTTGATGAGATCTTGGATGTTTCTGAGGATGAAGGTAAAGCGCCATTCTAGTTTTTTATTTATTATACTTTTTTGCATTAATAATTCATTAGTAGTCATTATATTGTTCTGAAAATGGAATAGCAAATTTAATTCATAAAAAAGGGCAAGAAGAGTGAATTGGAGAGCAGTTTTCAAAGAACTTAAATTGTGATCCTCTTGCTTTTTCTAGGAGTCGCACAACTAACGCTAGGTATGAATGTCATCTTTGTCTTGTCTGTGTTGTGACCATTGATTGTTACACCATTTCGAACACTAAAATAGACGTGACAAACGTGTTCTCACCCACGTTCTCGCACTTGTGATAGTGGTGATGGTGTACCATTAGCATGTATTCATCAATAACCAAGCCAGTATCTTCTCTTTTCTTGTACATTTCTAACCTCTACCACTAATTTAACCTTTACCACTAACCTACTCTCCTTCTTAACTCTTGCTTCCATTATGCCAAAGCAGACAAGTTTCTTTTTTTCACATATATGCTCACCAGTTATTCAGAACATCTTTTTATTATTGTGATTTGGTGGCGATTGACTTAAGAATTGGATTTTGCCTTCATAGTTTCGTGAGGGTGAATTATAATGCTAATAATCGGTAACGCTTTTGAGTTGTCCTTTTTATATGATTAATAAACTGTTAACAGAGTATCAGTAACACATCAATAACATATCGGTGAAGTAGCAGTAGTGAAGCATCTGAATACATTGAGGTAAATATGTTGAAGATGCTAAGACATATATTACACAACATATTACTTCCATTCAGCAAAACCTAACCTTACCCAACTGTACGCAAAACCTAACCCTAACCTCAACACAAAACCTAATTGTAATTCTGGCCCTAATCCTAACGCCTCAACCTTAACCTCAACCTCAAGTTAACATCACACTTCTGAGGTTCTGACTTCTGAGTTTTATCACTGTATTTTAGACCAAATGATCCCAAAAGTGAAGACTAGAGCCTAACAAACGCTGGTGCATTCACTAGATTGTTTGATTATAGTCAGTAGAGTGAAAAGAAAGAGGCACTAACATGCCCTGGAATCATTTTCAACACTTTATTGCTGTATATATATGTTTTGTTTAATTATGCCATACCTGTTATTAATAGTACCTCCTTTTTTCCTCTTATCATCGCATTTATCATTGATAATTTTGTTAAAATATTTATACCAACATGCAGATCTGACTAAGAATTTTAATGACAGTGGAAAGATACAAAATCCATTGTAACAGGCAACAAAACTAAATTGAATATGTATGACATTTTCATTTCTGTTGATAATGTCTGTTTTTTGTTTTAATACTGACATGTAAAACATGAGATTTGACTATTTTTACATTTAAATTGCAGTATGTAAGCTTTAGCCTCCTGACATTGGTCCCCCCAACTTGCACCCCTGCTAAATTTCAGTTTCTATGGTGATACAGTGCCCTCCACGAATATTGGCATGCCTGGTAATCATAAGCAAAATTAGCTGTAAAAAATATTCTTAATGATTTACTCTTTTTGATCTTTCATTCAAAATATTAGCAAAGGTCTAAACTTCATTTAAGATATAATGATTGAAAGAAAAAACTAAATCTTGTCATGAAAAAGTATTCTTCTAAAATCTATGTATGCCACAACTGTTGGCACCCCTAGAAATTCTTAAGAGTGAAATCTAACTGAAGTATATTCCCATTCATATTTTATGTTTTTAAGTTCACCTTAGCAATTAGGAGAAATGGTCAGTCATGATGTCCTAGTTCACAGTAGAATATAGATCAAATGAAACACAGGCCAAATTCCCTCAGTCGTTATGAGAACGATCAGAGAATACAGCAATGATGTACAACAAAAGGTTGTTGAGCTGCACAAATCAAGAAATGGCTACAAGAAAATAGTGAAGCAGCCGAAAATGTCCATTTCCACTATCAGGGCTATAAGTAAGAAGCTTTAAACAACACGAGATGTTAAGAATCTGCAGGGAAGAGGGCGTATATCTATACTCTGTCCACTTGATGGGAAAGATTGAATAAAATATTCCCTGATTAGTAATCAATAAACTAAATATTGGCTGACTAGAGAGCCCTCCTAATAAGGTAATATAGGGAAGCAGACTATGGACTGTATGAAGTAGACTCTCTAACAGGGAAAGAGTTTCTGGGCCTACAGAAGGGAGCTGTGCCAGATGACAGTTTAAGTTATAGCTGAGGTACACTCTTGTACGTGTATGGAGAGTTCTGTGAGATGGCCCAATGGAGAGTTGAGCATTCCTTTTTATCCTTTTTAATTTTTGTTGATGTTCTTTGATTCTTTTAATTCTTTTTGAAGATATTAGATTACAGATAGTTATTAGGGCAATAGTAATATTAGAGTTACTTATAAATGTCCAGACCCTGGGCAAAAAGAGAGAGCTCTTGGTTGCGACATACTCAAAGTTTCGACTGGACAGGGAATCTCCAACAACCACAGCTGAGGAATTGCAGACAGTAGTTAGATTTTAACCACTTGGGGTAACAACATCTCCCAACATGACATATAAAGCATGAGATTTCACTACAAACACCACTTATATAACCACAAGTTGTTGGGGTGGGGGGTGCTGTCAAAGACCAACAAACTCAAGCTCTGACAAGTTGCCAAACGTTACTGTTACTTTCAGTGGTACCGTGTTTTATGGTCAGATCAGACCATAAGACCATTAAGGTTTTTGGCAACAAACATCAGAGATGAGTTTGGTGTGGGCACAAAGATAGTGATGTAGGAAAGTTCATCATCCCCACTGTGATGAAAGGTGGTGGATTTGTGATGTTGGGCTTTTTTTCTTCCAAAGGCCCTAGACAGTTTATTCAGATACATGGTATCACCGACTCCATGGAGTACCAGCAGAAATAAATCAAAACCTTACTGCCTCAGCCTGAAAACTTAAACTGGGCCATAGTTTGGATCTTGCAGTAGGACAATGATCCAAAGCACACCTCAAAATCAACACAAAAATGGTTCACCAACCATAGAATTAAGGTTTTGCCATGTCTACCTCAGTCCCCTGACCTAAACCACATAGAACACCTGTGGGATGAGCTGAAGAGGAGAGTCCACAGTGCAAACCTTGGAATCTGAGGCATCTGAAGAGGTTCTGTATGGAGGAATGGTCTTAGATCCTTTGCCATGTGTTCTCCAGTCTCATAAAGCACTATAATGGCCAATAACTGTGGAACACATAGATTTAAGAAGAATATTTATTTCCTGGTAACATCTAGTTTTTTATTTTTTTATTTATTTTTTTTTTAAATCATTGTGCTTTAAATATATGTTTGATTTTTCCTAATACTTTGAATGAAAGATCAAAAGGAAACGCTATTTAGAATGTTTTTTACAGCCTGTTTTGCTCTTGTTTACCAGGGGTGCCAATACTTGTGGAGGTTAAATTTTGAAGTGGTTATTGTACTTTTCTTGAGTCTTTCCACCCATTTCAGTTTGTCAGCTTGCAGTTCAAGTAAATTTCATTAGATGAACCCTCAGAGCACAGTGGTGACTTTAACAACAGAACTTGATTGATGTTCTTCTCCATTCAAACCTGAAAAAATCCTTGACTAATCTTTTTATAAAAGCCAGAGCGACACAATACTTAAAGATTCTTAATATTTCAAAACCATAGCATTCACTTTGCTCAGTTTGCTCAACTGATTTTTGTGGCAAGCTGCTCCATCTGTTATACATGACTGTTAATACAACTTTATTACTTTATTCCTCTTGCTTGCTAGTTACCAAGGTAAAGGCTAAACAGTCAGCTACAACAACAAAAAATAGATAAATAAGGGCAATAAACCACAGTTTTAAAGCAAAGCTTATGGCCAGAGAAACCAAATTTTATTCACATTTAGTAAGAACTTAGTAAAATGTTTTATTGAGTAAAATGCATTACAAACTTTGCTAGCTGGTGGGTGTGTTCTGATTGAATGCTCCTGTTATCAGCTATCATATAGAAAATTGTGTGCCGCTGTGAATAATGTTATTCATTTCCTTGCAGCAGACTGGGGTTTGAGTCCCTGCCCGGTTAAGCAGGCTGCGCAACACCAATAAGTGTCCTTGGGCAAGACTCCTAGTGCTATATTCACCTAGCTCTGTAACATGATTAGATTGCAAGTTACGCTGGATAAGAGCGTCTGCCAGATACATAAACATAAATATAAATAATCCGCTCCTCACTGTCCCCTCCTCTTCTTCTGGTATGAGTGGTCTCGTGTGTAATAGAGATACGCATTTCCTAGTGGTCGAAGTTGGCAAGGGCATGTTTAAAAAAAAATATTGAGACCAGACCAGTATTACACTAATTTTACAATACGTTTTCCGCAGTGTATGTTTAAGCTACTCTACCTACCTCGGAGGTTAACTGGACAATACAGTCTTCTGTACTTAGAGTCAGTAAAAAAAGATATATGTTGTGTAAACCAAGATTCATGGTGCAAACAGCCATGATATATTTAGTTACTGGTGTAGTTAACTGACAACTTGTCACCACTGATCTAAATTTAGAAGACATCTTCTACTAATGTGGAACAGACATTTCCCTGTATTAAGTGATCCAGACATTTGCAGTCACATAAGCATTTACTTTACTTACTCACAACGCCATCTCAAAACAAAAGTCCATACCTGTAACGCACAACTATTACAGGACAAAGTTTCTTCATGGATTTGTTATGTACAAATAACAGTGGATTCCATCTGATTAGCTTGGGTTGAGCTCAGGTAAGTGGATTTGCAGCCTTTGGGAAAGTTAAAAAACTCATTTAAAATAATAATAGCCAGTGATATCAGCAGATACTGAATATAAAATGGATTTTTCTTTTGAACTGTTGGTCTGTTTGTGGAGATTGTAAATGGTTTATCAATAAAAAGAAAGTGCATATTAATAATATTTAAAGTATTTACCATATTTCTAGATGTGTTTTACCTGTTTCAAGTAAAACAGTTTAAGTCCCTTTCGGTAACACTTTACATTAAGGGTCGCTAATCAATAACTAAATATATAATAATCAACTATTAGTTTCCCATTATTTAGTTATTAGTTAACTCTTCATTAAGCATTAGCTATTACTTAGTAATTGATTAAGCACTTATCAATTAGTAATTAAGTACACTGTTAGTTGATAAGTTAGTTTGTCGTTAGTTTGTGGCTTACTTACTCATTATCTGTGTGCTAATTGCTGCTTATTACATTGTTAATTAACTAATAAGTATTTTTCTTCATATAAAGAAGTAACGTGATAACTTACTAGTACCTATGTGTTAATCCCGCTAATTATCTGTTAATTAACTTTCCATCACCTCCATATATTCAGTTGCTTCACTTTTCTCACTTTGGTTCATTAAAGATGCTTATGGTCACATCTGACCGTAAGATGAGCGCGCACAAATTCATGGACGGTTTTGTTATTCATCACGTTCATCTTGGCATATCTGTACTCATATCTGGTAGGAGTGCATGTAAATTTGGGCATAAATGCTGGATATGTGGCTAATTAACCAAAACTATTATCAACATAATCTGTAATTGCAAAAATAAGAACAATAGAAAATTTCAATAATACTAATTTGTGTGCATGACAGTCCAGTACAAAAGTGGATGTACTTACTTTACATGCACATTGATATAAACAAGTGCTGCAACTATTTCATGTTCCATTTAAAGACACATTACACTGTGCTTTTGTTTCATACTACTGACTCACAAACACAGCTTTGGTCATACACTGCAATAATACAGCGTTTATTTTAGGGAATTAATTACACTAAACAATCACTCTACTATGTTAACAACACTGAGTATTTTGTTTTATTTCACATTTTATTTTTTCCAGTTGTTTTCATTTTAATACTATTACGTTTGGTCAGCAGGGGAGGAGTGCACTCACTGCTGGACATCAAACTCCACCCATGAGCACGGCCATTAGCTTTCATGCCAAACACTGCCGTTTTATTGGCTGGCCACTGAAACAACTGCATGAATTAGTGTGTGCTTCATGTAAATGATATGTAAATGAGGTGCTGGTAGGCTGGTTTCATGCACTGAAGCTGATTTATCATTTATGCTCAAATCTCCACTTGTTTCCACATCGTACAAAATTGTTATGAATCAGACGCAGAGCAGTTCATACTGTATAAAAGGCAAGAAAAAGGTGTTCTTTTTTTTACGTAACTTTGATGATTAATGGGCATTAGATCTTTACATTCTGACCATTAATTACTTCTTAAATTCCACTTAATCAACCATTCTTTACTTCTTAAATTCCACTTAATCAACCATTCATTACTTCTTAAATTCCTCTTAGTTAATCATTAATTACTGCTTTTGTGTCCCTCCAAGTAAAGTTACAACACAAAATCAGTAATTAATGGTTAAGTAAGAGGAATTTAAGAAGTAATTAATGGTCAAAATGTAAAGATCTAATGGCCATTTTGTCATGATAGTGCACGAAAACTAACATATGTCTGTTGTAGCTCAGTATTTGAGCATTATAGTTCACTGCTAATGCTTAATCCGGACGTAATTGCGACTCTCTGTGAAAAGGGCCCATGGCCATTAGATCTTTACATTTTGACCATTAATTACTTCTTAAATTGCTCTTACTTAATCATTAATTACTGCTTTTGTGTTGTCACTTTACTTGGAGGGACACAAAATCAGTAATTAATGGTTAAGTAAGAGGAATTTAAGAAGTAATTAATGGTCAAAATGTAAAGATGTAAAGAGTCGCAATTACGTCCGGATTAAGCATTAGCAGTGAACTATAATGCTCAAATACTGAGCTACAACAGACATATGTTAGTTTTCGTGCACTATCATGACAAAATGGCCATTAGATCTTTACATTTTGACCATTAATTACTTCTTAAATTCCTCTTACTTAACCATTAATTACTGATTTTGTGTTGTAACTTTACTTGGAGGGACACAAAAGCAGTAATTAATGATTAACTAAGAGGAATTTAAGAAGTAATGAATGGTTGATTAAGTGGAATTTAAGAAGTAAAGAATGGTTGATTAAGTGGAATTTAAGAAGTAATTAATGGTCAGAATGTAAAGATCTAATGCCCATTAATCATCAAAGTTACGTAAAAAAAAGAACACCTTTTTCTTGCCTTTTATACAGTATGAACTGCTCTGCGTCTGATTCATAACAATTTTGTACGATGTGGAAACAAGTGGAGATTTGAGCATAAATGATAAATCAGCTTCAGTGCATGAAACCAGCCTACCAGCACCTCATTTACATATCATTTACATGAAGCACACACTAATTCATGCAGTTGTTTCAGTGGCCAGCCAATAAAACGGCAGTGTTTGGCATGAAAGCTAATGGCCGTGCTCATGGGTGGAGTTTGATGTCCAGCAGTGAGTGCACTCCTCCCCTGCTGACCAAACGTAATAGTATTAAAATGAAAACAACTGGAAAAAATAAAATGTGAAATAAAACAAAATACTCAGTGTTGTTAACATAGTAGAGTGATTGTTTAGTGTAATTAATTCCCTAAAATAAACGCTGTATTATTGCAGTGTATGACCAAAGCTGTGTTTGTGAGTCAGTAGTATGAAACAAAAGCACAGTGTAATGTGCCTTTAAATGGAACATGAAATAGTTGCAGCACTTGTTTATATCAATGTGCATGTAAAGTAAGTACATCCACTTTTGTACTGGACTGTCATGCACACAAATTAGTATTATTGAAATTTTCTATTGTTCTTATTTTTGCAATTACAGATTATGTTGATAATAGTTTTGGTTAATTAGCCACATATCCAGCATTTATGCCCAAATTTACATGCACTCCTACCAGATATGAGTACAGATATGCCAAGATGAACGTGATGAATAACAAAACCGTCCATGAATTTGTGCGCGCTCATCTTACGGTCAGATGTGACCATAAGCATCTTTAATGAACCAAAGTGAGAAAAGTGAAGCAACTGAATATATGGAGGTGATGGAAAGTTAATTAACAGATAATTAGCGGGATTAACACATAGGTACTAGTAAGTTATCACGTTACTTCTTTATATGAAGAAAAATACTTATTAGTTAATTAACAATGTAATAAGCAGCAATTAGCACACAGATAATGAGTAAGTAAGCCACAAACTAACGACAAACTAACTTATCAACTAACAGTGTACTTAATTACTAATTGATAAGTGCTTAATCAATTACTAAGTAATAGCTAATGCTGAATGAAGAGTTAACTAATAACTAAATAATGGGAAACTAAAAGTTGATTATTATATATTTAATGATTGATTAGCGACCCTTAATGTAAAGTGTTACCGCTTCTTCTTAAGATTCTTATATCTTGGAAACTGAAATTTTTTCTCATAGGTTATTTTCACAGGTTATTATTATAAATTTCTTTTTTTGAATCTTTGTGTTGTGTGATACAGTCAGTCTGCAGATTTTCCCCTTTGAGCCTGAAACACTGCAAATGTTAAGATATAATCAGCTATTAATATAAGGGTGATACTTGTTGTACAAGGAAATCTGTGACAGTTTCCCTGTACTGTATTGCAAAAAATTACATCTTGGCAAGTGAAAACTTTTTAAACTTAGTTTATATCATATATTTCCCATAATGAAATGAAGCATATTAATAATATTTAAAGTATTTACCATATTTCTAGATGTGTTTTACCTGTTTCAAGTAAAACAGTTTAAGTCCCTTTCTATTGGCAGATCATTCTGCTTGTTTCAAGATATAATGAGAATTTTGTTTGTTTCAAGAAATAATTCTTGAAACAAAATTAACTGCTGGTTGGTTATCTGCCAACTTCAACAAGGCATAAAATGTCACTTTAAATGTCAAGTTAAAACACCCGAATTATATTTTGTTTGTTTTTTTTTTTTTCTTTTTAAGTGAAGATAGGTTAGCACATCCTCCAAAGGGAACAAACTTAAATATTGCATTTTGGTGCACAATTTTAGTTTTTTTGATGATGTTAACACATTCAGAAAAAGTCCAATATAAAACATGCCTAAAATCTTTTGCAAGCCACAGTTTATTTTTGTTAGATTTTTTTTTTATGTGAAATTCAGCAAATAAATAGCAATTATGCATAAAAAGTGTGCAGAAATTTGTTCCCTGTAGAGGATTTGTACTCTTTTTCACAATTAACAGAACAATGAATTTAACAAAAGGGGAAGACAAACTTCTGCATATGACTGAATAGTTTAGCAGCCAAATCTCAAAAGCATTTCAAAGGATGCAGGATTTATGCAGAATGAATAGGTGATGCATTCATTGTCGGGGATTATCTGAGGAGGTACTATAATTGAAAAGGTTACTGACAAGATTTTAATTCAGTCTGAATTTGCAATGTCTTATTTTGTGACAAGTTGTGACAAGATGTGAGAAGGAATCACTGGACCTGGAGCTCCCTCAGTAACAGAAATCATGTTTCATCGTATATTAATGGGATAACAAAACTGGCTAATAGACACTCTAATGGAATAGCAAAACCTGCTAATAGTCTCTGCATGTTGTTGTTGTTATTAAGTATGTTGCATCTCCTGTTGCAGATGCGTACACTCAAGCTGTTATATTTCAATTCACCTGTGGTCTTTTGGGGAAATTGCGTACATACTTTAACTGATGTGAATTATCCAGCTAAAGTCACCAACAAATTACATTACCAAACCTCCAATGGTAAAACTATTTCAGCTCATACAGTGCGTAGGAAATGGCATATTGTAAATATTTTCTCTTTCTTGTCCACTTCTGATTCTCTGACTGTTTCCTTTTTCTTTTCCTCCCCCCCCTTGCGGCAGGCGAGGAGCTGCTGGGGACAGAAGGTGCCAGGTACTTGAAGATGGACGACATGAAGGACCATGATGAAGATTTCCTCTCCCCCAAGCCAGTGCTAGAGTATGAGAAAGGGCTGCAGTAATGTTATTGGACATTATGCAATAGTAATGCGGGGAGAAAAAGGCAGACAATAAGAAGGCAGAGTTGCATCTGCCAAATCGACAGGATATTATTTACAGTAGTTTGATTTACAGTGGAGCAATTGAAAAACAGGGCTTGTGAAGTTGGAAAACCAAATAGTGAATGTAATCCCATTTTAATGAATTTATCAAAGCTTTGCTTAACACTTTTTCTATGTCCCTCAACAGAAACTACTCACCTGCTCTTCCAAGGATTCCTTGTGTCTCCCCTGAAACTGTCATGTTGAAAGAGCATGAAATGGAGCAGGTATGCTTTTTTTCTTCAAATCTCTGACCTCAAAACAATTTGATTAAATTACAGTTTTATAGGAAATGATTCAGTGCATCATAAAATTTAAAATTTCACTATAATTCTGTCTGATTATTTAGAATGAAAAATGCTTTAAATACACACAATACATGTGGTAACAGTAATTCTTAATGTTAATTTAAATGAGATTCAAGGTTTGATTTATCAGCTATCAGAGTACATAAATTTGTAAAGTAAGTAGACTTTTTATAACCTTTGTTTTTTATGAATTTTATGTGATTTATTAATGATTTTGTTTGTAAAATAATAATTATAATAATAATATTAATAACGTACTTTATTTACATTTACTATAAGCATTGTAAAATAACTGATTAAATAATAATAATTTAAAATCTTGAATCATCTTCTTCTTCTTATTATTATTATTATTATTATTATTATTATTATTATTTAATCAATCATTTATTTATTTTTACAGTGATAGGTGTTAGGAAATAGTAAATAAGTTATAGTAGTTATAGTAGTAAATTCGTGTAGTAAATTCGTATAGTAGTAAAGTGTACTTGTCATGCTAAATGTTTGTGATGGTTTATGTTCGTTCAACACGTCATTCAACAATGCGGAAATTTGAACTGCACACTGGAGATCTGCGTCATTAAGGCACCTGTGCCTATCAGGAAGTGACACAATTGACTTCACCTGGTCCCCTCTGGAAAAAGTGGGATGACAGGGTCCAGTTTATATATACTGTCAGTGGTTTAGCTTTAATCATCCTTTTTTCCTTTCAAACCCCATTGCCCTTTAAGCTACTCCTACTTTTGAACATAAAAATGAAGTTCATCACAACATATAAAACTTATTTTAACCATTTATGGGTGCAAACAAAGGTCAACAGCTGTAGGATAGTATGGTGCATTTTGAATTCTTTCTCTGTATTTTGGTCTTCTACTTCCTTCTCTCATTTGCCCATGCAGCAGCACACCCCTATCCCGATGCCCAAAGATTATGATGAAGACTCTCTGATCCCCAGCAGTCCAGCCACAGAGACTTCAGATAACGTCAGTCCAGTGGCCAGCCCCATCCACACTGGGTAAGCAGCCTGTGGGTTGTTCAATACTGTACAATTGTTGGAATTCTATACTCTTAAAAAAGATGGTTCCTTCAAGGGTTCTTTAGCAAAAACAATGGTTCTATATAGATATGGAATAATCAAAAGTATTTGTGTGATTCTTTTGTGAAAAAAGCCATAGTCATAGACTGGATCTTACAAGTTATACATCGTAACAATAGCAGAACCCTTTTTAGTGCTATATAGAACCCTTTTCAAAAAGGTTCTGTATAGAACCATATACAACACATTCTCCATCAATCTGAGGAACCATTTAAGCATATAAATAGTTCTTTGAGTGTTCATGGTTATATGTAGAACCATTGTCTTTACTAAAGAACCCTTGAAGAACCATTTTTTAACAGTATATGATGCAGAAAGTGACAAAAATGCAATCATTACCCTGCTGTTTTTAAAGAGCCAGCACAGAGCCCTACTGATTTTATATTGTGTGATCACAATAAATAGCTGATTTCTTCTGGTTTTGCAGCTTCCTGGTCAGTTTTATGGTGGATGCTAGAGGTGGCTCAATGCGAGGAAGCAGACATAATGGTCTGCGTGTCATTATCCCACCACGGACATGTGCCGCCCCCACGCGCATCACCTGCCGCCTAGTCAAGCCCCAAAAGCTGTCCACTCCACCCCCCTTGGTGGAGGGCGAAGGACTGGCCAGCCGAATCATCTCCCTTGGGCCAGCTGGCATGCAGTTCTTGGGGTGAGTAATGGATCTCGGCCAAGCTTCACGAAACATCTTGTTGAAAGTAAATCTTGAAATCTTTGAATTTCCTTGAAGTAACTTAAGCAACCACACACTGTTTTCTCTACAGGCCTGTGATTGTGGAGATCCCTCATTTTGCAGCTCTTGGTCGGGGAGACAGAGAGCTGGTGGTGTTGAGGAGCGAAAACGGTTCTGTCTGGAAGGAGCATCGCAATCGTTATGGCGATGAAGTGTTGGAGACGATTTTAAATGGCATGGATGAAGGTAGCAGCTTATGTATAATTTAGATTTAAATACTGATGTTAGGATTGCATCAGAAAATCTTTAACCACAATTCAGTTTGATTTCTTTGGTTTGAGTATTTTTTTTTAATTCACTGAATTCACAAACGTGACTAGGAATTACACAGTACCAGAATATAGATAATAAAGATATGTACAAAATAAAGACTGAATTGCTTGTTTACTGAGTTTTTACATTTGAAAAAACAGCAAAAGAGAATTTTATATTGGCCAAGAAACCAGCTCACCTTTTGTTGAATATGATTAGAATCTATTGTAATTGAATTATAATTATAATTGAACAATTGAATTGAATATTCATTGAAACATCTAATCACAAAATGAGTCACAATACATTTTTACTCTTCTACTAGTTTTAGTAGAGAAATTGTTAACTTTCTACACTTGAAGAATGTAAAATTTGAAAGCTCACAGCATATTTAGCCAATTTGTCATTAATGTGGCATTCAAATGGTTTAAAATTTTTTTCTGCACTCTCTCTCTTAGATTTAGAAAGTCAGGAGGAGCTTGGGAAGAAGCGTATCAGGCGCATCATCTCTACTGACTTTCCCCTCTACTTTGCTGTGGTCTCCCGCATCCAGCAGGAGAGTGAATTGATTGGCCCGGAGGGGGGTCACCTGATCAGCAAAATTCTACCCATGGTTCAGGCCAGCTTTCCTGAGACAGCCGTCACCAAGCGGGTTCGTCTGGGACTGCAGGTGAGCTGGGAGGATGAGAAGGAGGAAGAGGGAGGACAATGGTCACCTTGACGTAGCACTGCCTGCCTTATTTTATGCCTTTCCAGATTTTTAGACTGCTACTCCTGTTTGATCATGTCACATGCTGTATTCCTTCATTGCAAATGAAATGACATTTGAGTTGAGCAAATAACACATATAAATGTCACATTAACTTTTGATACTGTGAAACAAAAGGAATCCCATTGTCATTTTATCAGGCTGGTTTTGAACAGGGCATTACATTGATATTTAAGGTGTGCTCTGTGTAGTAGCAAAATTGTATTGTGGGAAAGTGCACTGGATTAGTTAGAAGAGCATATCAAAAGGGATATAAGGCATAAGGTGCAACATTCTGTTGATATTTGGGTTTCATTCTGTTTAAAATCTGATACTTAATGAAACTGAATTATTGAATGCCTGTTTAAATTGGCTCTAATTATTATAAGCCATCTTTATCTAAAAACAGTTTATGTAATGTTACACTGGTAGAATGTTTTTTTTTGTTTGTTTGTTTTGTTTTGTTTTTTATCTGAATGTGTTTTGTGTTAAGTTGATGAAAGTACGAGTAAGTGCTTAGGAGGCCGAACCAGGCTGTATGATGAACAATGGGAATGTGCCATTATTATAACTATCAGTAAGCTTTTTAAATGACTGATACTTCAAAAACATAAATATTATGCCTTTGAAAGTGATAAAAACTAACATAGTTTCACTTATTTCTAGCTTTAAGTTTCTGTATTTTCTCAACTACATAATTATACTGGTTTCAAATGCATGTATTCTGCTCTCATGCTATTGTAACCACAGGCCCTCACCAAAGCTTTGATTACTTTTTACTACCAATATTTTATCTGTGCCTTTCCATGTTATTTCCTTTATTTATAAAGTGATAAAAACTAACATAATTTCACTCATTTATTTCTACCTTTAAGTTTCTGTATTTTCTCAACTACATAATTATACTGGGTTCAAGTGCATGTATTCTGTTCTCATGCTACTGTAACCACAGGCCCACAGCAAAGTTTGGATTACTTTTTACTATCAATATTTTATCTGTGCCTTTCCATGTTATTTTCTTCATTTATATCTTTACTGACCATTACTATTTAGATTTTGAAATGAAATATAAACTTGAAAAACTGATATTGTATTTTGTAAATAGCTGCACTAATTTCATATATAGTCACAGTTTAAAAGGTTTTCTAAATATGCAGGGTCCAAACACTTTTTCTTTGATGTGAATATTTCAAATTCTTTGAATGAGAATTGATTTAATGGAAACTTTTGTAACGCTTTTTTACCATAATAAATATACCTGTCTTACCAGAACAATTGTGTCTTGCTTGCTATTCTGTTGTCATCATTGCCAAAATCATTAATATATTGATGTCTTCTCTTTCTTCCCTCTGCTTTATCCTATATTTTGTTCTTCTCCTTTTCTTTTGCTGTTCTGATCCACAAATTCACATATTCTGTCCCACTTTTCCTTCCCATTCTTTAATTCATTCTTGTTCTTTCATTTTTGTTTTTCTTTCTTTCTTTTTTCTTTTTCTTTCTTTCTTTCTTTCTTTCTTTCTTTCTTTCTTTCTTTCTTTCATCATACCAATATCATACCAACATGTGTAATCTAATTTCTTGTCTGTCTTTTTTCTTCTTTAAATTTCACACCTTTTGCCACATTTTGTCTGCATCCTTTCTCTACCTCTTGCTTTTGTCTGCATTTACATTCCACTTCCATTTCATTTTTTTTCTCCCAATATTTCTCCTTATCTGTTCCGTTCCTCTCCAAACATGCCACACTGCTACCCCTTGTCCCCTTTGCTTCCATTCCTGGTCCCCAGGCTCAGCCGGTCCCTGATGAATTAGTGGCTAAGCTGCTGGGTAACCAGGCCACTTTCAGCCCTGTGGTGACAGTAGAACCAAGGCGCCGCAAGTTCCATCGGCCCATCGGCCTGCGCATCCCCCTGCCCCCCTCCTGGAGGGAAAGCCCACGGGACGCCGGCGAGGGAGACACGACCAGCCTTCGCCTGCTTTGCAGTGTCATTGGTATAAGTCTGTTCTGTGATAAATACTAGGTTAAAGATATAGTTAGCATAGAGATTAATTTCATATTAGATTGATCCTTTAATTAGGGGCATATTTCACGTTTTAGGAAGTGTTCCAGCACGGTACTCGATTGAAAAAATCTAAATTACTTTTTCAATCATGCTGTCATGTTATAATAAGGGTAGTCAAAAAATGAATTGTCATTTACCATAGCCATTGGTGATAATTCTCATTTTTTAGACAAAAATTCAGGATACAAACTGACATCTACAGGTACTATGCTTTTTTGCATATATATATATATATATATATATATATATATATATATATATATATATATATATATATGATGGGAAAATTCCCCTAATTAAAGAATAACCCCTTAACATTATTCACGTTACCATTGTAAATGCTTAATCTATATCTTGATTGGCGAAGCAGAGGGGAGTACTGTTAACATGTCAGGAAAGTGCAGAACATTTACTATTTCCATTGAAAGAAAGATCATGTAAAATTTCAGTCAGAATGAAAACGGAATTACTTTAGTTAACCTCAGCCCCTCTACATTTCTTAGGTGGCACTGCCCCAGCCCAATGGGAGGATATAACTGGCACCACCAAGCTCATATATGCCAATGACTGTGCCAATTTTACCACCAATGTGTCTGCACGGTAAGACAAGTATATGAAAGAATTTTGGAAATTACTGTTTATGCAGTTTTGTCAGCAGCAGCTTTTCGTAACTTCTTTTGCTTGTTGTTTCTCTTTGCCACAGTTTCTGGCTAGCTGACTGTCCTCGAACTGCAGAAGCAGTTTCCTTTGCCAACCTACTGTACCGTGAGCTATCAGCTGTGCCATACATGGCCAAATTCGTAGTCTTTGCTAAGATGAATGAGGCAAGGGAAGGCCGATTACGCTGCTACTGCATGACTGACGACAAGATGGACAAGACCTTGGAGCAGCATGAGAACTTCACTGAAGTGGCCCGCAGCAGAGACATTGAGGTCAGAGACTTTATTACAGTGTGTTATTGTTTATAGTTTAAAGTGTTTATCTGAACAAAGTTAGAAGTGAGTCAGTGGAAGCAGAAGGACAAAAAGCCTACAATGAAAAATAGAGAGTCCAGTAACGGCAGCTTTTTAGGTAAGGTCCCTACTTACGGACTTGAAACACATTCAAAGCTTTCCATACACTGAGTTTCCAGTTTATTACAATCCAGTATGGTGATGTGTCTCTTTTGGCCTTCATTATTGATTCTACATTGTTTTAGAAGTGCTATGCGGGAATGTTGTACCATTTGGAAATGAGTGCTGCAGATTGGACATGAGCACAGTCTACACCCTTAACCACATTACTCTAAAGATGCTTGATAAAATAGAGATCGGGCTCTGTGCAGACAACTGAAGCAATAAAAATTCATGTTCCTGAAACCTTTTGGTGACAATATGTGCCTAATGACATGGCACGCTGTCATGCTGGAAATGTCTGTCCAAATGTGGACAAACTTTCGCAGAATCTTTAAGGTCTTGTTTTGTCCATTGTTTTGTCCATTGTTTTGTCCATTCCAGCACTCAAACACCAATGACAGGTGTGCCTGGTTTATACCAATACTGCAGTAACTCTGTATGGCTTATTGGAATGTACGCCATATGTCCAATGTGTATATGTTTGCAAACACCTGCTTATCCAGTGTTTCTTCCTAGATCAAGGGTATTAATAGGAAGTTTCTATCTGCTTTCCTGCATTGTAAACTTCTACCCTTTTGAAACGGGTTTACACTAGATGTTGGAATATTGCTACTGATGGTACTGCAGTTTACAGTTATATTTATGGTGTTTGCCAGATACTCTTATACAAAATGACTTACAGTTTAATCATGGTACAAAACAAGGCAAATGTAGTGTTAGGCCTCTTGCCCAAGGACTTTCACTGATGTAAGCTGTGTTCCAAAGCCTAGGCTACAGCCGAGGTAGGCTGCATTTCTCTGCCGCTACGTCATAGCAGGCCATTCCAAAGTAAGGAACCCTTCGTATACAGCCTAGAAATGCACCCTACATTCTAAGTGAATTTAAGGACACCTCAGATGTATCCCTCCAGACCTTGGGTTACCCACAGTTCTCTGTGCATGAACAATGTGAAAGAATAAAAAACAGCACCACGAAAATGGTGGCAAATAAAGCCGTTGGAGCGGAGTTCGTTTTGAAATGTAAATTGTTCACGTACTTCAATTTGTCTTTGTTACCTTAAAGTGTAAAATGATTAATTACAGCATCCATCCATATATTGTGTATCGTCCATTTATTGTATTTTATTTGGAAGTATTTGTATATATGTAGTTTATCATATTACATAAGAACATCTCCGTTTCCGTGAAAAAATGAAAAAGCTGCAAACCACTACTCAGAAGAAGTAGCTACAACCATTTGATACCATTTGTGTGAAGGTGAGGGATAATAAACCTAATAAACTTGCAAAGACAATGAATGCTGAAATGTTATGCCTGAAGTTGTTGACACTAGTATTATTAAAAATGACTCCATTCAGTTGGAATGTATTCAGTTGTACTATGCTGATTGCATGGTTCTGCCATACTCTGTCGTCGCTCTCAGGTGATGGAGGGCATGCCATTACACTTGGAATGTTCCGGTAACTTGGTCCCCATGAGGAAGGCTACCCAACAGCCCCGCTGTTTTAGTTTCCAGGCATTTAGAGACAACAGACTTCCTGTCTCTGTGAAGGTAGATGCTCAAATTTTGTTGCCTAATTATCTTGACAGTGGTCTCTTATCCCTTAAAGGAAAACCACATTATAAACATTGTAAAATTTCAAACTTTTGGAAATTGGTGATATAAAAATTAATTCTGACTACATAACACACACAAACAACATAAGTGGACCTCAAAGAAAAAAACAAAAGAGAACTAAAACAGGATATGGGCCCTTTAATCATTCATTACAAGCAGGTCACCCTTTTGATATGTATTTCTACTTATCAATTTCAGTGTCAACAGTGAAGTATAGGTTTTCTTTGTTTTTGCATTTTTTTTTCCCTTTGTATATCGATCATTTTCCTCTCTTCCAGGTGAGAGACAGCAGTAAAGACCCAGCCGGTTTCTTGTCTTTTTTGCGCAAGTCTACCAAATATGAGGACAGCCAGCAAGTACTCTGTAACCTTAATATTACCATGCCACCATGCATAAAGGTAACTAAACATATGAAATGGAGACATTTATACACTACTATTTCCCATTCAATGTGATACAAAAACTTGTTTGTAACACTCAGTATAAGCATCATAGTTTATGTCCCAATGTCAGATCATAGGTGGTGAGGACCGAAGGAGGACACTGACTCCTTTGGCCCTTAGAGAGAGATACAGTGCTCTCAATGAACCAAGTATGGGTAAGAGCAATCCTGCATATAGCTCTCATGCATGTCTCACATCCATACCTCATGCTAGGGATGGGCATGGTTCTTTGAATATATGGATATCCAAACTCTTAATAAATAAACATCATAGTATTTGCTTATTTAATCAGGTATTGCAATGTTCTTTTTGTTTTATTTTTTTTTTGTCGTTCAATTTTAATTATCTTTATCTTCAGGTTTTTGACTTGCGTGCAATGCAGATAATGTTGGGGAGGCAAGCAGCTGATTCTGCACCTCACATTAAGTAAAATGGTATAATCTAAATAGAGTAATATTTAAAAAGGAGTTTTGTGTATATACTGAAAGTTGACTGGTGGCATGTTTATTCGCTTACAACCAAAAACGCTCACTAAAAAATCACTAAAGCGACCACACAGCCAGGCACAGATCATCTTATATTCTACCTTTTCTGTAAACATTTTTTATTAATAATGGTATATTAATAATAGCTTAAAATCTTGACATGTTTAAAAGATTTAACTTGAAAAATGCAGATATTCAAATAGCAGAAACTGTTAAAACGCCCATCCCTGTTTCATACTATCTGCTTCATTGTGCTTAAAAGACAGTTTTGAGTTTTTGCATCAGACAGTGCAGAAGGTCTGAGCCAATGATGGTCTGATTTCCGCAGCATCAATGAGCGCCATGGAAAGGACGGAGTTAAAGATGGCTTTAATAGCTGAACAGCTGGGACTGAGCTGGGCTGGTGAGTGAATGAGTGAATGTGTGAATGCTTATCCAGGTATGTCTTATCAAGACATATCTGGAGGTCCATTACTCCTTTGTACATTTACCACAAAAACTGTATATGAGAAATTGCTTTGCCTAACGTTTTTGTTTTTTTTTTCAAAATCTTTCACTCAAGCTAACATATTTGTTTAATAATAGTAGCTTCTAGTAATACAAAACAGTATTACATAAAAAAGCATCATGGCATTATATGTGAAAGTTCTTAAACTGTTCTTTCTAATCCCAACACAGAGCTGGCTCGAGAACTCCAGTTCAGTGTGGATGACATTAACAAGATTCGCGTGGAAAACCCCAATTCACTCCTCGAGCAAAGCTCGGTGCTGCTTAACTTGTGGGCTAGCCGAGAAGGAAAGAGGGCCAAGAGTAAGTTACAAGCTTCAAGTTACAAGTTTATTAAAACATCATTGCATGACATGTAAGTGCATGCATAAGAGGTTTTCACATCCAAGTGAAACACTCTAATAAATAAGTCTAATGAATAGCATTTATCAATAAATATCAGAAAATGCAATGCAAATATATACACTCCCCAAACACTTTATTAGGAACACTGTACTAATAGTATATAATATAATAACTAATGCAACTAATATAGTATAATAACTTTAATATTAGCAATATCAGGTGCACTTTCCTGCTGCTGAATCTCCCATGCTACCACATCCCAAAGGTTTTTTACTGGATTCATAGCTGGTGACTTAGAAGGCAACTAAATAATATTAAACTCACTGCCATGTTCATGAAACCAGTTTGAGATGACTTTTGCTTTGTGACCTGATGCACTATCATATGCCATTAGAAGATGGGTAAGTTGAAGGAATGCATATGGTCAGCCACAATACTAAAAGTGGCTGTAGCATTCAAGCGATGATTGGTTGTATTAACAGGCCCAAAGTGTGCCATGAAAACATTCCCCACACCATTACACCACCTCCATCAGCCTAGAGTGTTGACACAAAGCAGGTTGGGTCCATGGATTAACATTCTGACCCTACTATTTGTATGCCTCAGCAGAAATTGAGATTCATCAGACCAGGCCATGTTTTTCCAGTCTTAAACTGTCCAGTTTTGGTGAACCTGTGCCCACTGCTGCTTTAGTTTTCTATTCTTGGCTGGCAGAAGCAGAACCCTATGTGGTCTTCTGCTGTTGTAGCCCATCTGCTTCAAGGTATGACGTGCATACTGAGATTATTTTATTTTATATTAGTTACCATAGCCTTTCTGTCAGCTTCTACCAGTCTGGTCATTCTCTGTTGACCTCTCTCATCAACAAGGCATTCCATCCACAGAACTGCAAAAAACTGTACCCTGTATGATTCCTTTTTTCAACAGCAAACAGGTTTTGGACAGCAGGACACTAGCATTACACTAGCATAGAGCTGATTGGTTAGTATTACCAGAGCCGGTTTATGAGAAGCCTGGCCACTTCCTATTTCCCCTGGGAAACGAAAACTTTCGAATCACTTGCTCAAACCTTTCCTTTAATTTTAGAAAGTAGAAGGATGTATTTCACTTAAAAAGCAAAGAAAACTTGCCTGCATGTTTTCTTTTTTCTACAGGTAGTTTTTTGGGCAGCACGGCATTAGCATTACAGCCGCTGAGTGCTGATCAACGTCATGGGCGTAAAAGAGACGGTGTTTTAATCTCATATAACTCAGTTCAATATCGTAAAAAAAATATAACAGCGGTGTTAAAATGTTTTATGTTGTTCTGTGTTCAGGGTATGAATGCAGTATAAACTATGATTTTACACAGATACGCCATAGTAACTCATTCATTTTGGACTGGCTCAGGAGCGCCCTCTAGCGTTTCAGAAACACAGAAGGCATTACAGAGTGGTAATTCTCCTCTTTATAAGTTCTCTGGCATTACTGCTACTGAGTGCTGATTGGTTAGCAAGCAGAGCAGCTCATTGGCTGTTTGCACTCACTGAAATGATGAACATACATCATTTGGCATTTTAAAATCCTATAACACAAGTTCAAAAAGTTAAAATGTTTTATGCTGCTCTGTGTTTAGGAAATGAATGCATTTTTTATATTAAAAGTGTTTAAGCAAAAACTATACTTTTTTCAAATGCTTCGTCTTAACTTATTCATTTTGGACTTGCTCGGGAGTACCCTGGAAGACATTACAGAGTTGAAAAATTGAGTGGACATTCTCCCCTCTACAAATTCTCTGGTTATACATATGTCTTGGTTATCAGGCAAAGTGTTTGTAGTCATTTTGTGTAGTAACCACCACTGTGATCAGTTCCAACACATTTCATATCAAACCACGCTGAATGACTGTTTACATCTTAACAATTGAATAAAGCAGAAAATATAAAACTTGGTGGAATTCAACATTAAAGACAAATTAAGTAGTAATCTTGCAGTTATTTGGCTTTTTACAATTTTTACAATGACATATTGTCCTTATCTCCTCTGTCTTTCCTGCTCTGTATCTCTGTGTCCATTACTTATTTTCAACAGTGGAGAGCCTGTTCATGGCTCTGAAGAGCATTGACCGAATGGATATTGTGAACATGCTGGAGGGACAAGGGCAACAGACAGGTCAGCAGGGAGGTCATGAAATGTCCAGACGCAGACACAATGACCGAGACCACCTCTCTCCTGGCATGACAAATGGTAAGAGATTCTTTAGTCCCTTATCCCACCATAATGCTCCTTTTCCCCCATCCTACGCAAGTCCTGATCCCCAAGACTAGGCTTCTCTTCTCCTCGAGCTAACAGCTGCTCCATTCCCTCTAACTGATGCCTGATAACTTGGCTGAGAACTTTCACTTTTAATTAATTCTACTGTCACCAGGACCAGGACTAAGGACATCCCTATAGCCTGCTTATCTGATCCTGAACAACTTCTGTTGTCATTTCAGTGTATGTATATATGACCTTATATATATGTATAAAAGCTGTTCAAAGGTGCTCCACTCCCAGTGAGTTAAAATACAGAGCAGCGTTTTAGCTGCATATTTATTAACAATAATTAATAATGCTCATTATGCCATCGCTGAAAGTTCTTTCTTGGTATTCACATAGTAATTATGACCAGTTGACTCTGTTGCAAATTGTTATAGCTATGAAGATATGAATGTGATTGTCCTTGTGTTAAAATGTTTAAACAATAGTTACTTTCACGCTGTCTATTCAATGGAAATAATATGATATGAAAATTATCATATGAAGGTTCAGTATATATTTAAAAGAATATTTTGTCAAAAAATCAAATTTACACAGCTTTACCTTACCTCACATCTCATCTATCCAACGTTTGCTTTACTTTTTTATTCATACTACAAGGCTAATGTAGCAAACAGGTAATGGAAGTATACCTCACCAACTAGCGTTATGCAAACTGCATACCTAAATTATCGCACTTTTACCTTAAACCATGTTTTGTTAAGAGTTGTTAAGTAATCCCAACAGATTTACTTATGTGGTTTCTAACACTTTATAGCACATCTAAACAAATGAACAAAAGTACACAATATGGCCAAAAGTATGTGGTCGTCCTTCGTAATTATTGAGTTCAGGTGTTTCAGCCTTAGTCATTGCTGAAAGGTGTGTAAAATCAAGCACATAGCTATGTAATCTCTATAGTCAAGCGGTGGCAGTAGAATAGGTCATACTGAAGAGCTCAGTGACTGTACGTGCAGCACTGTCGTAGGATGGCAAGTCAGTTCATGAAATTTCTTCCCTGCTAGACAAGGCTGTCTAGGAGCAACAGCTCAGTCAGAAAGTGGTTGACCACGCAAACTCACAGAGCAGATCCACCGAGTGCTGAAGTATGTAAAAAAAGGACCTGTCTCATGTTGCATCACTCACTGGAGTTCGACACTGCCTCTAGAAGCAACATGGGCACCAGAACTGTGCGTCGGGAGCCTAATGAAATGGGTTTCCATGGCCAATGAGCTGCACACAGGCCTGAGATCACTTTGCGCAATGCTAAGCTTCAGGAAAAATAGTCTGAGGCTTTTTTGCAGAATTTGGGCTAGACCCCTTAGGTTCCAGTGCAGGGTAATGTTACAGTCATACAAAGATATTTTAGACAATTATATGCTTCCAACTTTCTGGCAACAGTTTAGAGTTTCCTGTTCCTGCGCGACTGTGCCCCTATGCACATACCAAGGTTCCTAAAGACATGATTTGACAGGTTTGGTGTGGAGGAACTAAAGTGGCCTGCACAGAGCCCTGAAACTTAATCCCACTGAACACCTTTGGAATGAATTGCAATGCTATTTGTAAGCCAAGGCTTCTTGTCCAACATCAGTGCCTGACCTCACAGGTGCTTTTTTGACTGAATGGACAATATTTCCACAGATACACTAACAAGTCTTTCCCTGAAGAGTAAACGCTATAGCAGCAGAGGGAGGCCAGTTTTTTTTAAATGCCCATGATTTAGGAATGAGCTCATATATGTGTTTTGGTCAGGTGTTCAAATACTTTTGGCCATATAGTGTACATTGTGTAGTTAAAAGCAGCAATAGCAGCCATCTCAATAATTATCAATAACAGCCATGAAATTAATAGATTGAATTTGTTTTCTTTTTTTACATTTCATAAACATGAGCTGTCTGCGCTACGATTCGTGATCTAAAACTCCAGTCCTGGTTTTACTTCATTAACACACATTGCAGTGTGTCACCATTTTTAACCCTAGCACTCTACACTCTAGTCCAGTTAGTGGCAGTAATACACCTAACAACTGGTTTGCCAACTGGCAGTAAAATCCGAAAGATGTTGTGACCCTGTGAAGCTTGGTTCACTGTGATTCATTTTTAGGTCTGTTCCCACCAAGTTGAAAAAAAATATGCCATTATTAATGAACTGAAACTTTTGCTCCACTGCGGTATTTGTCAAGTCCTCAAAGAGAACGAAAATATAAAGATCCATCGAGCGGCAATAGCGACAAAGCTGTCAAGCCTAAAACACTGGGTAACAGCCCATTCTGCTAAAAAAATTTAAATTCTAATAAAGTTTAACATCGACTCCTTGTGGTTTTAAATAATGAAAATATTAATATTTATCCATAATTTTGTCCAATTCTATTGATTTTTGAAAATTGGTTATCACCCCAGCCCAAGAATTTCATCAGTACATTTATTCATGCAAATTGAACTGCAAATTCTTGAAGTGTAAGCTTCCATTACTGGTTAGCTCAATTAGGCTCATAACTCCACTGCTAAACTAAAGAAGCAACCTATCGGACAAAGACTTGCTACATTACAAGTAAGGGCAAAATTTGTGTAAATCTGATGTTTTGCTATACTATTCCTTTAAAGAGAATACACATCCTTTTCTTCATGGTGCCTCTTGATGCATGTATTGAGTACATCACATTCACTGTGGGTTCACAGTTATGTTGAGAAGGAGTCATTCTGCACACAGTTGTTACAATCTGGCCCAATTCATGCTTGTCAAGGCCAGATGTGGGTCAGTCTTGTGGTAAAGGAGGACAGATATATTCTCATGACCATGATGAACAAAGGGCAAGAGAATGAAGCAGATAACTCAGTTCTCAGATCTGGGCTGAGTCCAGGTGTTGGAAAAAACCCATTAAAAGTTTACTGTAAGAAGCATCCATGGATTATCATGCCTATTCATCTTCATATGAAACTGAGACCACAGATGTGTTTCTTAAGAGTTACTTGTCTCTGCCCTTTTTCTACACCTCAAATGTCATATTTAAGTGTAATTTGAACATCACCCTAAAAACTTCAGTACTGATGATTTTTACTGGTGTACTGATGATTTTTACTGATGTACTGATGATTTTTACAAACCTACAGTACAATAGTACGTTCCAAAATACTGTAAAAGCACATACTGCCATTAAAAATCTTGTGTTGTGTTCAAACACTGTATGTTTCAAAGGCAGACCTGAATTGGATATTTAGCAGGAGTTCTTTGCAATTGCATATCAGTTTTAGTGTTAAATTGTAAAGAAAGCAAAGGTGTAACTTTAAAGTTAGCTTTCATGCTCTCCTGAGAGCAGATTTGCTGTTCCTCTTAGTTGTTCATACCAGGGGCTTTGGCTGGGCATGTAAAGGTGTGGGTGTCTGCCCAGTTCATTGTAGAACAGTTTTGAGTTGGTATCCTCACTCAGAATTTTTTTTAATTAACTAGTAAAATGTACAGTTGCTACCTTTTATTGAATCTGAGGATTTACACATCAACAAAATATACATTGATTCAGCTATGTTGATTGGCATGTCAAAAACTAAAGAAAAGAAGAGTGAAAAAGCTGTTTATAATAGAAAATAGGAAAATTCAGTGTGTCAAAAAATAGAGATGATTTCCCAATAATGCCATTCTTAATGGTCCCCTGCCCATTTCCTGTCTCTTTGCACATCAACCATCTCTTCTACGTTTCCTCTCAAATGTCCTGATAATAGTACACCTCTAAGTACACCTCCTTGTATCTACACTTATTTTATCAGTTTTACTTACCATATAGGAGCGCTTTGTCATCTGTAGTCCATCTGTTTCTCTGTATACTTTCTTTGTCCCCATTTACCCTGTTCTTTAATTGTCAGGACCCCCTCAGGACCACCACAGAGCAGGTATTATTTGGGTGGTGGATCATTCTTAGCGCTGCAGTGACACTGATGTGGTGGTGGTGTGTTAGTGTTTGTTGAGCTGGTACGAATGGTTTGACTTGACATCTACAAGGTGGACCAACAAGATAGGAGTGTCTAATAGAGGGGACAATGAGTGGACACAGTGCTTAAAAACTCCAGAAGCACTGCTGTGTCTGATCCACACATACCAACGCAACACACACTAACATACCAGCACCACATCAGACTCACTGCAGTGCTGAAAATGATCCACCACCCAAATAGTATCTGCTCTGTGGTGGTCTTGTGGGGGTCCTGACCATTGAAGAACAGGGTGGAAGGGGGCTAGTTTTGCAGAGAAACAGATAGACTACAGTGTGTAATTGTAGAACTATAAAGTGCATCTACATTTTGAATGGACCTGATTGGACAAAATTGTAGATATACGGTAAGTGTAGTTAATGAAGTGGCCAGTCGGTTTGTATATTTTTAAAACTAAATAGTCATTCAAATTTTGAGTGTCCTGATAAACATTGTTTGACAGGGCCAACAAAATATCAGGTAAACATTTTTTGCCACTACAACACTGGGATCAGGTTGGTCAGATTTTCAAATTAGTGATTTTTTATGTATACTGCAAAAAACTAATTTGGAGTCTGAAATATTTAAATTAAAAAAATTAAGTAACCTGGCTGCCTTAAAATTTTAATTGTTCTGTATTTAAAATAATAAATCAAAAGAATGTAAGACACATGATAACTGATATCATACTATTTGATTTTCAATTAACTTAAAATTTTAAAATACCAAGTATACTTAAAATAGTTAATAATTATTGTTTTTTTAATATAGTAGTAGTAAATTGCACCCTTGCACTCACTTTCTCGCATGAGCACTCTGTGAGTTTGAGTTGAACGTGTCCATGAATGAAATAATGCATGATGAGAAAGATGTGCAAATGAGCTGGTGTGAAATGTGTCATATGTTAACTTTAAAAAGTTTGGTGCTGGCTAAAAATATTCAAGGCAATAGCCAACAAAACATCAGGTAAACATTTTTTCTGGTATC